ATACCACATATCATATACTTGCTTCATATCTATACGTGTAATATTTATTATATATATAATTAAAAATTAAACATTACCTAAGATAGAACATTACAATTTTTATTTCAGTTATTTAATTTACTATTTATCTAAATATATTTTATTAAATTTCGGTTAAAATGAATCATATATAAGTTATTCAATTCAAAATATACATAACTTTTGCACAAATATTAGTAACTTAATTAATTAGTTAGTAATTGATGTAAATTCACATTACTTATTTAAAGAAATCTGGTACATTTCATTGTCATCCATAAGACTTATTATACTATTGTATATATGTTATATATATGACCTGGAGAAGGACAGTTCAGCATAAGACTGGCAAATCGTTTAACAAGTTGAGAGCAATAGCACAAAATAGAAAGCAGTGGAAAACTTCTGTAGACTACTTATGCTCCTAATGTAGTATGAAAATAATAATAATATATACTATACATCAAAGGATAATAATATACATCAAAGGAAAATAATATATATCAACGGATAAGAATATATATCAAAGGATATAATATTTATCAAAGCGAATTAATATATATCAAAGGATAATAATATATATCAAAGGCTAGTAATATATAATAAATGCTAATAACACACAGAACCTGAATGAAGGAACCTGAATGAAACACACTGCAATGAAGGATTTTTATAACAAAATATTTAAGTGTTTTCTAAACTTTAATAGGGATAAGTTTTAAGAACTAAAAAGTACTGACAGCAGAGGCCTTCGAATCATAGAAACTGTAAATTACAATTGTATAACAAAATAGTAATATTAAGATATTGAAAAAGACTAATATCATTAGAGTTAGTATAAAAAATCTATTATCTAGATGAGATAAGATCATAGACCAATTCAAATCACTGAATAGGTTGGAGGACCGCATAATTACATACAGACTTTACAATTTTATAGGTAAAAAAATACGGCAATAATATTAAATTTAGTTTTATTAATTCTTTATTAATTTATCTTTTACAATTCTATCAATATCAACATTATTAATATTAGTTATTGCCATACGAAAAATATTTTATTTTTTATATAATGACTTACGGCACTGGATACAGGTTTTTTGAACCATTTGTACAAAGAAATAAATACTAAAATCTTTGTCAATTAAGTAAATTAACGTGAAATATAATAAATTATTTAAAAGACTTTAATTCATTCATCATAAAGTAGTTAGCAAAATATAACAAAAAAATATAACACAAAGATTAGCCATGGGCCGCATGAGGCGCACGGGCCGTGCTTTGGACAGCCTTGATCGAAATAATACTAGATTAATGTTGGAGATATCGAGAAAGGAATTGTCTAAACGAGATTTTCTGCCTGGAATTCGTAAATGAGTTTTATGTCACACAAAGTTGTAAGCCGAGCCAGACGATGAGAAAAGACATTGAAGCCAAAACAACTGTATTTTTGATTGAAGAAGATGTGACATGAATGACTGATGTAAGGAGGTGATATAGGACCGTAGATTTCTTGGGGGTATTCGTTGAATAAGAAAATGTGTCAGATTTCAATAAATTTTAAATATAAAAGTTTTTTTAATAAAAACTTTGAAAAATTAAAAAAAAAAATTATAGGACAATATAGTTTTGCAATATACATACATATAAAATTACTAAACTCTTAAATATTGAAACATTCAGTTCATCACATCCTTCATCACATAAACTAATAAACATAATATCCCATTTTCATCTTTTTATATAAAGACTTCTTTGTTATATTCTAATATGATTAACTAGGAGAAGGTTCAAAGTTTTTGTTACCGACCTGATAGAGTTGTCATCTTGCAAAATTAGGTACTCAGTCAAGTTTATAGACGTCAGATTGGTTCTTAAAAGTTATCTTACTAGCTTTTAATGTATTACTTACAACTGAGCTACCAATTGAAAAACTTCAAAATGGTGATGAGGTGATGATATTTATCACCTCTTTGGCTTTGTTACTACTACACAATTATACTCGTATTATTTGTTTATACATAGTTACAAAATTGTTCCCTCATTATAATTTTAATGCCTAAACGGATATAGAATAAAACTGTTGCAAATTTTTAGCATGTACAGAATGAACCAATTAATCTAAAATTGCTCATAATGACTTTACGTCAACTTTAACCATTTATTTGTTTAGAAATTTCTCTTATCACAAATGACGCTCTAAAGATTCTGTTGTCATTTTGCAAGCTTCAAAATTTTCTCTTTTTAGGAATATTAATCTATTTAAGGGCGCATAATCATATATATATTATTCAACAAGAAGACCATTCGATCAAATCTATTCTCTTAAACCTAATTTTTGAAAGGTTACGTATATACTAGAGTTCCAAATACATCAAATAAAGGTATTTGAACCCCCGCGATGATTAATATTCGAATATATTTGCACTTGAACATTTGTTTCAACATTTTCGCACCTCAAGAACTTTCAAAAATTTGAAGTATTCGAATAATATTCGAGTATACTCGAGTATTCTTGAACTATTCAAAATATTCAATGCTTAAACATTGTGATGTACTACTTCAAACATTTTTGTTTGTCATATTCTTTACACCCAGTAGCTAACATTCTCATCATACACTTAGTAAATTCCACGTATTTAACTTGTAAATAAAATATTACACGACAGTTATATTATTATTGATAAATATTGTCATACAATTCTATTTGTGCCAGAGTAAAAAATTTACCAATATAATATTTATTTATTTAAATATATATAGATGTATATATATATATATATGCTATATAAACGAGTGCTCTAAAAGAAAGTAAAAATTTTCATATTCAACCAGAGTAGAAAATTTACTTTATAGTCTTTATTTATTTATATACATACTATATATATATATATATATATATACAAGTGTTCTAAAAGAAGTCAAATTCTTTCTTTCATATTTTTTAGAATAAATACAAATAATATAGTATAACTACATATATACTTATAATACATATATTTATATAAACAGTGATTCATATTACTTAAAATTTCTTTTGGGTTCAGGTATAATGGTTAAATGATTGACGGTCGGTCTTGGACAGTCATTGCTTTATAGGTTATAATTGCTTTATAGTAATGGAGATATAAAAATTGATTAAAGTAACTAATATTTGATTCATATTAACTGAAATCGTATTTATAAATAATTTTTATGCTTAATTTATGTTTAACAAATTATTTTTGTTTTAATATTTTCCGTTATTTTGGCGAACAACCCGAGTGGAAACCAAATCAATATCTTGTCTTTTTCTAAAAATATTTATAACAGTGAAATAATATAGAAACTAATACCATTAATAAATTATAATCTTTTTTTTATGAATATTTATATATAAAAATAAATCATGATATTTTTCTATGAGTGCTTTGATGCAATTTTCAAACCAACAAACAAAAAGGGGCATAAATTTGCATCAAAATAGTGCGCAAAATACGTTAGAAAACGAACAAACTAGCGGCCAAAAACTATGAAAAAGTCACTGAAGGACGTGACCCAAAATGCAAAGGACGCATTTACCATGTGAACTGAAAATGTTGCACAAATGAAATATGATACTACAAATATGAATCTATGCGCTCATTTGCATTACTTACTACTTTTTACTAAAAAAAAACTTAATTCATTTCTCTTTAGTATTTTACTAACCATTATAATTATTATTTTTTCTCAATACTTTTTTCTCATATACTATATATACAAGCATTTAGTTGAATTTAAATGAGATAAATTTTTTATACAAACTTAAACAATAAATTCTTTATTATATAAAGAAACAAACAAACATTTACAAAACTGCTTAGCGAAATTAACCAAATCCTTTCCAATGCTTTTAGTAGACAAATAAGCTCCCAATGCGCCCAGAATAAGCTCCGGATAAATTCAATGAACTTTATTTATTCAGCCAAATTCAATGATGAGTAACTTATTGTACATAACTGCATTTGTAAATACTCGTATATAAATATTTACAAATAGATTCATTTTCAGTTTAGTTGACGTTTTGTTTGTTCATTTCAAAAATTTCATTGTCTGAATTGAATTTCATTGAATTTAAACTGCAGCATCCCGATACGATAGTTATCCTCACAGAACTTGCAAGAGGACTACAAGCGTAGAAAGCGTTTTTTTTTTTTGGATTCACTTTCTAATAGCAATGAATTTTCACTGCTACCGCTAAAGGGAAAACAGCTTCATAAAAAGATAATATAAAGCTTTTACTACAGCCACAGCCACCTACTACAACGTACTGCATACTTCACAATTTAATATTTGTGAGAGGATTCTGTAATTCTGTAATTCTGTATTGTAAATATAGTTTTTCTATTAAGGACTTGCTTTTGTTTGGTACATATTTTGGATTTTTTTCTTTGAGATACGTAAATTTATTTTGTAATTTATTGATATTAGTTCTAAGCTAAGCCACGACTTTTAAATTCAATATCGGCTTTTGATAATTTATTTAGTTTACTGACTGTTGTCTGCATGTTGTTTTTGAAAAAAAGATAGTTTTAAACTATCTTTCAAATATGATCATTTTAGTTTTTGAAACAAAATCTGTTGCACGTATTTTTTGAAAATTTAATATTTTACAATTTTTATCTATCTAAAATTATGTTATAGTTTTTGCTAGTGATATTATCTAGTTTAACATAAAACTAAAATATTCTTTTAATTGGTATAATTAATAATTTTTGTACATTTACTTCTATTTTAACTGCAACTTTACTTTCATTTTCTCTAATGTTAATTTCGATATATGTAGATTTTTAATTTTAATTTACTATATATACAAAAAAAAATCTGAATAAAATTCAAAACTTAAACTAATTCAAAATTTTTCTCTTTTTTTTGCATTTTGCCAACCCGTTTTCCTTTTTCTTGTGGTTTCTATTGCCATTGCCTTAAAATAAATTTATTCGTAAATTCGTCGATATTAGGACTTTACATTGGATTTTTACTTTCGTCAATTTTGGACCGATCCTCGTTTAGCGTATAGAAAACGACCTGGTGTAGAAACACTATCGGTTGGATCAGAGTTCATAAAAAATATTTGGGTACCTGACACCTTTTTTGTAAATGAAAAACAATCATATTTTCACATTGCAACAACCAGTAATGAATTCATACGTGTTCATCATTCTGGATCAATAACAAGAAGTATTAGGTAAAAAATAAATGCATAAATCATTTTCTTTTATAAATTACCAAAAAACTTAACTTTAATATCAAATTTAATGGAAATACTGAGACTATAAACTGAAAACAATACAGATATTGTCATGTTTATGTTGTGATATTTTTTATACATATATAAATGTTCTGTACAAATCGATGTTGTGTTTTATAATTTTTTATTTACGAAAAAAAATTTACTATATATAAATAAGACAAATATGTTTGAAAGAGTGAGTTCAATTGGCAAGCAAGGATACCTATTTAAAGAATATTTCATAAAACAATATTTTATTTTAGTTCAATATTTTCTTACTACATGAAATGTTGGTAAATGGAAACACAACATGCGAAGGCGTTCCGAATAAAAGTGATAATTATTGATAAACAAAAATAAACAATACAAAAAATTATTTAAAAAAAAAATCAAGAAAGCAAACAAATTGAAATCAGGAATACCTTATATATAGTTAGCTGCATTTACCTATATGATTTTTATTTCACTTTCGAATGAAATCCTAATCTTTATTCCATATAAAAAAACCTAACAATATTAGCATTTATCTATTACATTAGCATTGAATAAAAAATAAGCCGAATGTGATTATAACACGCCTAGCCAAAAGACTTCTAATAGACTTTTTGAAGCATGTATCGCAAGTCACTCTTATTTAGAAGCAAAGCACCAAAAAACGTCCTCAATGAACGTTATATCGTTGAAAATCTGCAACAACTAGGAACGCACCTTATATACTCTCGTACAGATGAACTTAAAGAATCCTTCAGCAGTGCTGCACGTGAATTTTACCAATGTTTTGAAAGGTTAAAGAAAACAATTTTTTTTAAATGTTTCTTTATATTCAAATGAATTTAATATTTTGAAAAATAAGAATCATTCTTATTTATATCAAATACAATACACTAAGTTAATTTTTTGTACTACCGTGCTTCAATGTACTACCCAAGACTTTCAATGAACCTCTTGAACTATAGATATAATTGAAGAATGAATATTTTTAGAACATGAATAAGCATTGACCTTATATATAAGATTGATCAGAGAATTTGAACAATTTATCTACAAACAATTTCCAAATTAGTTTTATAAATCTGTTCTAACTCCAGGTTAACATGGCCCACCTACAATAAAAATAAATCCTGGGAACTCATCAAAAAAGATCACGTGAACACTGCAAGGCTTACTGCAGTTCTTACTGGTTATTGCTGTGTAGCAACTCACGCAGAGAAACTGTGCATTCCCCATAAGCTTCGCTGTAGAAGTTGTGGAAACCCGCAAGAGAAAGAAACAATAATACGTTTTCTCTGTGAATGCCCGGCTTTAACGTCCAGAAGATATAGGTTCTTAGAAAAATACTTCTTTGATAGTTTATCAGACTGCTCAGCGGTAAAGATGAAAGACATATTAAATTACCTAAATTCGGCGAGATGGATTTAGTCTCCACTCTTATATTATATACTATGGTTCTTGCGAGGAATGTGGTAGTAAAACGGCGAAAGAGCACTGCAGTAGCTTGAAGAAAATATAGTACAAGTAATTTGTAAAAATATCTTCTACTAATTTTATGGATAGTATGAAATTTGTCCAATATAACATTATCAGTTGGTTTCATAATACTGCACTTATAAACTGCATCCATAATTGCAAAGCTTTTACCTGTTTTACAAAATATTTTTTAAAGAAGAACTTTTGTAAAAAATATAGAGACATATCTAAGGTTGTGTTACTCAATAATATAAACTGACAATTTCTTCTCGTTAAAATATTTTTGTAGTGCAATCTAAAGATCTACTGTGCCCCCACTTTAATTTGGAATGGATCTCTAACTCTTCGATCAGTTGTAGTATAGAACCTACTTTACACAGATGGTTTATTTCCTCATCTGATATTATACAATATTAGCAGAATATATTTCTAACTCTTTAATTATTGTAGTGTTTTACCTAAGCTATAATGTTTATTTTATCATTTGATATTATATGCCCAGCTAACTACAACAAATTTTGATTAAAAATATTTTTACGTTCTTTTAAGTTTACGCTCTGTGTCCTTATAGATGTCAACTTTTCAATCACTTCTTTAAAATCAATGAACTTAACTATATTATTTTCTTTTCGAAATAAAGCCAAATGAGGTGGCCTGGACTATAACATGATAGTTCATGCATAGTTCTTCATAAGTTTTAGTTTCACCAAAAATAATAGACTCGCAAATTCTGAAAATTAAGTGAAAGCTTAGCTGAAGAATTAGAACAGATTGTATGTACTCTTATTTTTCTATTAATTGTTTTTTTATCTGCAAATAACTCATTATCTGAACAAAATGGATCTGTCAGATAAAGAAGAATACCAGCAATATTCGGTTTTGGTCTAGACCTCTAGTCAACTTCTTTGTGACTTTTTGACTTTGATCTAGCCAAGAGGAGTTTACTGGGTCGGGATCTGGTATTCCATATGATATTAAGATATTCTCAATAACTGATGTTTTAGCATTCATTCAATAGCTTAATTCTCTTCAGTTTAGTTAGAAGCGATAAGCAGCAGAAAAGATTATTTGTTGTCTTAGTGCTGCGCCCGCAGGGAACCAGTGCCCCATATTATTCAATTCACTTTTTTTCACAATCATCACATTTACTGCAAGATTGTAGACTCTCGTTTCTAGAGTGTTAAACATACTCAAACATATCTTCTACTTCCTCAATTGTTTTTGATTTCATCTGAAAGACAATATTTGAATATTAATATTCCTGACATTATATTAATATTACACCATATTATGTATTATGTTCTTTTATATAATAAATTGTATCTAATTAATATATATTTATTAAATAATATTTATAATTTATTTAAAAAGATTTTTAGGGGGATAATGTTATTCACAGAACAATGATTATTTACGAATGCGGTAATTTTTTTTAATATACTTTAGGAATACTTTTACCCTTTAATCAAAGATTATGGTGCCTTGGGAATCTATGTAAAATAAGTACAAATTTAAATATTATTACATATAAAAATATTATATTTTTTCCCCATGTTTCAAGATTTCACTAACTTAGTTACGATGTTTTTAAGGATAATGATAATACATATGCTAATTGAATACTATTTATTATTTTATAAGATTATTTTAATTGATAAGAGTTATTGTCCCATTTTGAAAATACTTCAGAAAATATCTTCATAAATTAATTTCTTTAACGTTTAAACAACATGATTTCAATTAATTTGTTGGAACTCCAACGCTTTTATTCTGAACGCCTTCGTTTATAAGTCTTTACCAGCACTTTTAGCTATACCTATTATTCAATTTTACCATCGGAAATGAAATGAATAATTGAATTGAGATACTCGTTTAGAAAATCAAATGAAAAAGAACACATATAAGCAATTAAAGTCCTGCAACTCAGCGGTACCAAGCAAATATCAAAGTGTGTTTTACACCGCAAAAAGGTTTGCTTGTTGGAAGGGTACACTATTGTACATTTTTCCATGGATATTTTTCTAGTACATTTAAACAAGAATCTGTCCAAAAGATAAAAAAACGCAAAAAAAAAAATAAAAAACTTAAAAAAGTAAAAAGTTTCGTTAGGACATGGATTAGGACAAGGATATGCAATGCAAAAGCGTATGTTGCGATCACGCCTATGGGTAAGCGCAAAAGGCATAAGTAAGGTAAGACGGTTATTTACAAAAATATACGTATGCTTTTAAAATAAAATATATAGCGTAGCATTTACAAATATATATTAAATACTAGCAAATTAACAAAAATAAAAAAATAATTAAAAAGAATATAAATTAACTTAACGAGCTGCTTGAAGCTAACTAAATACATAATTAGATATTTGAAGTATTTTATTGAGTAAGCTCTGCCTCTCTCCACATAAGTACATTTGAAGTACATAAATCTAAAAAATCGAACATACATTACTTTTCATCCCAATTGAACTCGCTGTATTCGCTCCTTTTATTGTCGTTGCTATTGTTCTTATGCTTGCTCTTAGTTATTGTTTCGCATTGAATAATAGAAAAAAATTGCTTTTGTCCTTTACTAATTAAAAATATATATTTTCTCTTCCTTTGTCAACTGTTAATGATTGTTTTATAGATTGACTATTACTGCATCATGTCCAATGAATCTACAATACTTTCCAATGGACCGGCAATTGTGTCATATCGAAATCGAAAGCTGTAAGTAATTATAATACACATTCTATACTTTACTATATATATTTTAATTAATAATTTTTAATAAAAGCTTAAATGAAACTATTATTTAAGTTAGTTTTATTAAATAGTATAAAAATTTAAACCTCATTCAGAATTGCAACCGTTAGTTAAAGTATAATTTTTTTTAAAATATATATATAATAATATTTACAAACAATAGATATATAAAATATTTATATATATTATCCAAATATTATGTAAACATATACATATATTATATATATATTTTTCTTGATATGAATATTAATTTTCATTTTTCGATTTTCGATTTTGTGCTGTTTGTTCGTTATATGAGAAAATTTTTTAACACTTTTAAGTGAATAAGAATTATTATATTAAATATATATACATATACTGAAAAAAATCAAAATCAAAATACCTTTATATAAAATTTTAATATTATTATACATATGTGCATCTATTAGCAACATTTTAGGCAGTTATATACGAATATGCAAATATTTGTACGAGTATGAACTTCATATATAATAGTTTTAATCAGTTTAGTTCAAAAAAATGTTATAAAATTCTCTCCGATATAAGAATAATTCTACTGTACTGGCACTAAACACAGAACCTAGTTAAATCTACTTCAAGCAAACTATTGTTATAATCTAAAACTATAGCCAAAACTCTTAAAATTAGCAAGAATAAAATAATTAGTACGAACAATAGATCAGGTTTAAATTCTTTCCTTAAGTTCTTAATTATTAATTTATTTTCTTTTCTTATATTTTTGGTAAAGAAAAGAATATATGATTACAAACTAAATATCTTTAAAAAAAATTAAAAAAAAAACAAAAAATTATGCTACATACTACTTTTAGTAGCACATTTCTCCAATATTTTTCACTTAGTTTTTTTATTTATTTAAATTCTTTTCCTTTTATCTTTAATATATTTTTATTAATTTCCATTTTTTTCCATTTTAGATATATATATATATATAATTTAAATTGAAATTTGCTTTGAATTTCCTTTAAATGCCCATTTATTAGTTTTATCATCAGAGTCAGTCAAATTTAGTACAAATTCAAAACATTTATGAATCCTTAATCAATCAATCAGTCATTCAATTATGGTCTACTTGAAACATATTAATCAATATAAATAATATCATATATGAGAAATGAACAAAAAATATTTTTGTGAAATTATACAAAACAATATCCATCAATATTGGTTGGTTTTCGGTCGCCTTCTCTTTTACAGCAACCGCAGAAGGTTGAGAATCGATAATCGACTAGTACTTAAGTGAAATTCTGTGACGTCAAGAAATGTTTTAAAATGTCCTTACCACAAAAAATATAATAAATAAATATAACTCAAATATTAAATAAAGAATTACTTAAGTATACTTTGCAAATTAAGATTATACATTTTTTCCCAACAGTACAGTCATCAAACGCAATAAATCTATTCAAAATTTCAGAACCACAGTATTTCCAATGTATTTAGTTTAAGAGTGGAATAGGCTGAGTCTTGAGCCTATAACTAAATTTTTATCGTTTAAAATTTATATCCAACTGCCGCAAATCAAATTTATAATTTTCATAATAATTTATGTGTTATTTTTACTGCAAATGAATTAAAAAAATTAGAAAAGTAAAAATTTATTGGCTAAATTAAAGTAAAATAATTAAATATTTATTATATATAGAAATTATTTTTGGAAAACCTGTTTGCAGTTAAATTTTAAATACATAAATAAATTCTTGTGTTTAGTAAGAGTGTATATAGTATTGATTAAGCACAAAAATATTGCAAAAATAATAAAGGGATTTATGGATGTAATGATTTAAGTTAATAAAACAAAGATAGTACAATATAAAAATTATATATTTATTTATTAATTCAATTTAATAGAAAAAAAATAATAAAAATTAAATAAAAACTTTTTGCGTATTTATAAATTATAATATTAATACTGTAATTCTTAAAGTACAGCAAGGCAATTAATAAATTTTTTAATTTAAAAAAAATAATTTTAAAAAATGAACAGTATTAAAAAAATGTTATGATAATTTTTTCTTTGCATAGAGGTAATGGAAAGTATTTATTTTATATATATAATATATATAGTATATATATTTATATATATATTGGGTTGAAAAGAGTTTCTGACAACAGTACACGGAAACATTATTATTATTCTGATCATTTGTATCTATTATTTGAAATTTTATTTTATTATTATTATCTATTATCTACTTTTAATTTAAAAAAATTGTTTAAGAATAAATAAAAATTATCAGAATAATATATATGATCCGATGAAAGTCTCCGAGTGGTGTTGTCATAAATTTTTTTGATATTAAGAGCTTACACATGAAAACATTTAAAAACTTTTTTGTATAAAACATATAAAACACATTTGGCAGGACCCGAGTTCGATTCCTGGTACTTGCAGTCTCAAAAATAATTATTTACGAATAATTAAATACAAGAATTATTTTCAAGACCACTGATGATGGGTCTTTGGCAATACTCGAAACAGCTGTATGGTCAGCCAAAAATTCAATTAATTAAAATAATATAAAAAATAAATTTTTGTTATTGTATTTCACTACTGTTCGAAAAAACCTCTTTAAGAATTAATATTTTAATAAAAATAAATACATACATTTTATTGTTTTTTAAACACACTTAAAATTTAAATATTAAAAAAAAATTTTGTTTAAATTAGTTCAAGAAATATTTAAGAGTTTTACACTTGATTCATTACTTCTCAATTATTACTATATATTATATATAGTACATATACTATATATTATTATTGTACTTTCATTACTTAAACAACCAATTTTAATGTATTTTATTATTAAACAGTTTAAATAAAATAATTTTTTAATAATAATAACCAATGTTTGGAATAAATAAAACTATTTATTACAATTGTACTAGAAATTAATAATATAAATATATTATATATTATAATTTCATAGATAAAATCAAAAAGAGTTACCCTCTTATTTTCATGCATAAAAAAGGGCCTACAAGAAAATTTTGTGCTTAATCTATACTATCATATTAATTTAGCAACTAAGTTCATTTAAAAATAAAAAATAAAAGGTTAATTAGTGAAAATTATTATTCAAATAAAAAAAAAGAAAATATTATTTATCCCAGATATATATGACAATTATATACATTTTTCTTAGAAGCAAGGAGAGAACCGATTGAAATGCTCTTTTATTACTGCACATAAGAACTCATCAGCAATTTATTTCATGTACATATTAAGAACACTTTTTTTTATTTTTTTATTATATTATTTTCACTAATATATTATTTTTGATTTTGATTTTGCCATTATACTTCATTATTTGTTATTATTTCAAAAAGAAAAGAAGATAATTAACTACACCAAAAAGCCGCAATACATTTCTTCGCTGTTAAATCTTGTTGAGAACTAAGAACGAGTGCAAGAAATGCGAACAGATTCAGCTGCATTTTAACTTTAATTTACATTCAATTCAATTTATTCTACTCATCTGTGTGTTAAATGTATAAATCTAGCAAGTCTGTAAGAATCTCATAAAATAATTTAAGCAAAAGAATAAATATTTTAAATAAAGTTAAAACAAACAAAAAATAACATTATCTATACAATTGGGAATGACCATTTTGTATATTTGTTTGAATATGGAAGTCGGTTACACGATGCGAGATATCCGGTACTTCTGGAGAGATGGACTGAGTAGTGTTGGCATGAGCAGTGAGGTCGAACTACCGCAGTTCCGCGTTTTGGGACACAGGCAGAGGGCGACCGAAATAAACCTAACCACAGGTATCCCCAAAAAAAGTTTAAAAAATTAAACCAAAACATTTACAGCTACAAGAAATTCAGTTCTATTATTTTTTTATTTCTATTCATTTATTTGAAAAATTTTTAAATAAACATATATACACATATATTTCTTTTTTTTTTTTGTTTTTTTGTTCTTAAAAGAAATGACGCATTACACTAACATATTTTATACATATAAATTTTATTTTAATTATCATCATTTAATTTTATTTACATAATAATTGTTGTTGTTGTAATTTATATACATTATAATTTATGTAAAATAGAGTTCAACTCTGTGCTCTATTAATATATGTTTCTCTCACTCTATATATATCTCTCTCTCTCTCTCCGTCTAATTGTTTTAAATTATTACAATTATTATAAATTTCAATTTATTATATTTTTATACTAACAGTAAAATTCTAAAAATTAACAATTGCAATTTGTTTAATTAATTTTCTTTATTTTAACCTTTTTAATTTTTTTTACATTTTTTGGTTTGAGCACCTAATTTTTTTAATTGCAAAATCTGTAGCAGAACAGGGCACACATAGGCTCCTTTATACTTTCAAATTAAATGTTGTATAATTAACAATGAAATAACTGTTAAACAATTAAAAGTGCCAAAAATAATTTTACAAAAAAAAAGTATTTGCTTGGGTAGGCAAACTTCTTAAACCACAAGGCTTAGTGCACAAGGTTAAAACCATGTACATACCCGTATGTAACCGGTACGAGTTACTCTGCCACATCCTAGCGAAAATGTAGGTCATCCGTAATAAACGTAATAAAGAGCATCATCTGTAACTGCCTAGGAAAGCAGTATCTTTTTGCAAGTGTAAATCATTACAAAAACTTTTTATCAGTCACTGGTAGTACACGATATACAATTACTTCAGTTACTTCAGATACTTCAGTTACTACTGCCAATATGAACAAACAGTAGCGATAAGTTTTGTTTTAGAAATGCTTGATTGATGCGTACCAAGTAAAAATAATTTATTTATTATTGAAATGCAATGTAAAATATAACGAAATCTAAAGTATAAAAAATTAGTGAATTTTTTAATTAAAATAAAAAATCATTATAAGTGCAACATGCTTAGTTATTTAGTTGAAGCCAGAGATGGGGAAACTGTATTTAAATGGCAATCAAAATAATAAAATAAAACTGACTAATATTTTTTCTTTACATTAATGACAATTAAATTAAATTATTATAAATATGCAAATTGTAAATATATTGAAAATAAATAATTTTACATATAGTAAGAATCATAAGCACACATATATACGAGTTCCCCAATCCTGGTTAAAATTAGCAAACAAACAAAGAATATAATTAACCAACTATGAAAAGTTCTGAATGAGACTATTAATAATTAAGAGCGTAAAATATCTTTTAAATTAGATACTTTTAAAGGAAAATTATGCTAATTGGTAGTTTTGTAGAAATTAAAGTGAAGAAAAAAAAATATTAATATTAGGTTTATATTTGTTAATAGTCTCACAAAAATTTACATAATTTGTTTGTGCATATTTTTTCAACTTTTAATGCAAATATGAACCACTACTACCACTTCTACTACTACTACTACTACTACTACTACTACTACCACTACTACTTCTACTACAAAATTTGAAATATACGCGCAACAACAAAAATCCAATACGAACAAATAAATTGTAACGAATTTTGTATGGTTATAAAATAAACATAACTATATATGTATATATGCGTTGCTGAACAATATGTATATATATAATATATAAAGTCGGCTATACAATGCGTGACATACGTTATAAGTGGAATGAAGGCCCAAACTCGGTCGGTGTCTCGAGTGAGGTTTCTCTGCCCCAATTTAAGGTCTTGGGTCATCGTCAGAGAGCAATGGAAATCAGTCTTACAACAGGTACCTGTAGACGGTTACCGATTTATTTATTTATTATATATAATTTTTATATATTTTATTAATTATATTATTATATTACATATATTTCTAAAAAAAAAAAATTATTAACTCATTTTTGTTTTTATCGGAAAGTACAGTGAGTTGAAAAATATTTAATGAAATTGAAATGAAATGAAATGAAATTAACAAAAGAGTGGAGCTTATGTTATATTATAATAAAATTAACATATTAATGTCATAGATATATTTAAATATATATTTATAATAAACTATTTTTAGTAAAGATATAAATAACTTTTAGTAAAACCATTTCTAAAGTCAAATATGACGAATAAACTATTTTTAAATCGACATTTTTTAACCGGTAAATTAAAAATATCATAAAGTTCAATAATTTTTTCATAATCAAAAAATATCTGAGTATATTTATATAAATATCCTATTTATATATTTGAATAAATTATTGTAATATAAATATCGTTGCATGCGTAATACTATTTATTAGACCTTTAAAGACGACTATAGATTAGATTTTATAACCATAAATTTATTATTTATAATCTTGTGAAGAACTTTTTTACTAATAGTTTTTATGAAAATTATGAAATGTCAATTCCAATTATTACTGATGAATATAAATAGTTTCTAATATTTTAGTATATTTATTTTAATATTTTTATCATAATATAAAAAACATTTCAGAAATAGTAGTATTTCAAAGGAATTGCGAATTGTTTGAACATGTAGACAAAAAAGCAAATAATTTATATAATTTGTGCAATGCGAGTAGATTCTGAATAAAGTGAATACTTGCAACCAAAAGCATGTATTAAAGTGTATAATAAATGAATGAATGAACACGTGTATTCACGACACGAACGCGTGTTATAGAGGCTAGATAGTTTTATAAGTTCTTTAGAAGTGCTAAATCGACTTGCTACATAATGCTTAGGTATATTTTGAAAAAATAAGAATAAGTTATAGATTAAAAAACAGTATATTGAAAGACATGAAATATAAAGACATAGTATATGTTATGTACATAATACACCAATTTCAATTCAGTTAACATTTAAATGCCATATCTCTAATTTTTTAATATCCTTGAAACTTTTATTTAAAATAGATTAGAATATATATCTCATTGCTTTATTTTTTACTATCAATCAATTTTACTCTCAATCAATCAATCAAACATATTATATACTCCAAACAACACTTACCACAGTAAACTAACGTGTGATAGCAAGGAAACGAATAGATTTTGAATAAAACAAATACTTATATTCAAAAACATTTGTAACATATCCACAATTATCTTATTAATATTTTAATTTTTGAAGATGAAATATATATATATGATATGTACCTAAATATATATTCTTTCTACATATTACAACTATATTTAATAATGGAAATAGTAAAGACACAAATAGGTTTCGAATGAAGTGAACAACTATATTCAAAATCGAATACTACGTACCCCTGATTAGTTTATTAAATTTATATACTATTTTGTATATTATTACATATATTATGTTATTATATATTACTATCGAACGTGTAATATGTATAAGATAATGATTTTTTATGATAATAATGTAAGTATTACAAAAATGTCAAGAAATACAAGCAAATGAATAGAATTCTCTTGAAATCAATGTTTGTATTTAAAAATGAATTTTATTGATTTTTATTTTATTAATACTTTAGTAATTGAACATGTAATAAATATATAAGATATATATATGTTTCTATATTTATATATATATATTGTTTCTTCTTATAATAAATATGCTTAATATTAGAAATAGCAAAGATCAGAACATATTTCGAATAAAAATTATAAATAAATCAAATTTTAATTAAATTAAAAAAATTAAATTATTAAATTAAGTTTTAAATTATAAAAGTTATTTGCTTATATCAAAAGCAAAGTTTTACATATTAGTTTTTTAAGTATTAAGTATTGTAGATATAATACATACATATACACATATATTTTTAATATTTAATATATTTAGTATTTAACATATTTAATATTTAAAATATTTTTATATTACGGCTATTATAATGATAACGTTATTAAATAATTAAATTATAATATATATATACCATACATCATCGTCGAAGTTTATGACTTAATCTCAGTCTACGTCTTAATTTTTATATAATCTATTCAATAACTGATTATTCAACTTTTATTATTAAAATCTTAAATTATTAATTATTTTAAACTAAATTAGTAATATAAACAAACATAAGCCACGCTCTAGAATTATCATATGAAATTAAAATTAAACTTAAGAACAACTTTTTTAAGTTTAAATAATTACTTTCATATAGCAAAACGTAATAAGGAGCTTCAAAAATGTTATAAGCACAATATATTGAATTAGTAAATTTAAACTATATGCTTATATCAGTTTTACGGATCGGTCCAGAAAAGAAGCTCTTATTAAAAATTTTATAAAATTAACATGCATTTTACTTAGTGAAATTAAATATACTTAAAAAAATTTTAAAATTAAGACATAAATTTATACATAATTTATGAAATCATATATATGATGAAATACATATTTTTATAAGCATGTTTTACTAACTTAATACAGATTTTTACGAATTTTGTATGAACTATTTTATTAACCCATTTAGTACGAAGCATTACTTACTAACTTTTTTAGAAAAGGATATTAGATCTTTTAGCAAGCACTCACAAAATTCAATTTGCTTTCAATGGGTTAATATAAGACTGAAACTACTACTATTACAATTAACTTTAACTTTTGAATTTTTAATAGTAATTTGTAAACAATTTCTAATATTTAGAAAGCCTTGGCGCGTTTTTAGTGCTTTCAATTTTACTTAAATAAAGAAATGCATGTTTGAATCTAGCGATTTTCGTTAACTTACTTATTAATTGACTCATTATTTGGTATTAGTATAATTTCAATTGTATATATTTACTTAAATATAGCATATTATTTATATAATATTTTTTCTTTCTTAGATTCTTTTATTTAGTGATTAATATTGAATTTTATTTACGATACTTATAATTTTCATTCATTTTGTTCAGCTGTCATATCAACATTTGTACGACACCCAATCAGCAAAGTTAATAAAAATTTTTATTAAAAATCTGCAAAACTAAACCTGTATCATAAAAATACATACTATAGAAATATAACTGCTTTATAAAATAATAAAAATAAAATTATCATTTTTGCCTGAAGTTAGTTTCAATAAAAAATCGCTGCAATTTATTTATGAAATCATAATTTTTTATTTATTTCAAAACGAATTCTAACTTACAAATCTTAATCTCTAATTTTAAAATTAGACTTATTATTAAACTTATTAGCAATTTTTATTAGCCAAATATGCCAAAATCAAAAGCATTAAATTACTGTAATATAATTAACTAATTAAATTAAACTTATTAAAATTTAACATCAAACTTTACAACAAGCCCTCCCAAGCATGCTCTCATATTTTATAAAGAAGAAAATAATAAAAATAAATTAAAATTAAAATTTAGAAGCAAAATAACTCTTATAAATACTCTTCTGTCTAGGCTTAGATTTAGCCTTTTAACTAACGCTCACACTCATTGCAGTCTTCTTTATGTTAGAATTTATTATTTTTATTTAAAATATCACAGTTTAAAATAAAATATATATTTTATACAATATAATTAAAAAAAAATATTTGCAATCATTTTACAAAAACATTTTTAATGCTACAACAACGTTTTAATTAATTATTTTTATAATTTAAATAGGCTGCAATAACTATATAAAATTTCTGTTATATTATTTTATTTTTAAACACCCATTGTTTGCCAATAAATCTATTATTTTTAATTTATAAATATTATATGATTATACTTTGAATAATTTTTTTCGAGAAACTGTATTCCAAATAATTATTTTCATATTAAAAAAATTTTTTTTTCTTTCACGCTTGTGAATGAGAAATGTTGATTTAAAAAAAAAAGTTTTACATTCAAATCTAGTGACGGATGTTTTAGATATATTCACACATTTATATAAATAGACCGTGTGTAAATTAGAGTAAATTGATGGTAAATTGAGGGAAATAGTGAATTATGTCGGTAAGGCAGCGAATCTTGGTATTTACCAGAACTTCGAGTAGGGTAAATTAAATTTAATAAGATGTTTAATAAACAAATAAATTAATTTGAAAACTTTTAACGAAAATTAATAGATAAGTGCAATAAATAAATAAATAAATATTTACATAAGTGCAGTTTACTTTACCTCAATTTACTCGAACTCGCAGAAGGCCTAATATACATAAATATATACGTACAAACAATAAAAATATACAGATTGCATTTGAAGAAAATGCTATAAAGAAAATATGTAACCGATATAAATATATAATATACAAATTTATGTGAAATATATTACATATATATTATATATATATATATATATATATATAGAATATTATATATGCATGCACATGTCACATAAGAATATTTTTCACTAACATCAAATAGAAATAAATAAAAAATTAATTAAATATACATAATGCACATCTATGTATAATCAAGTACATTTATATACGAATCCTTTAACATTACAACGATTTAATAAATAATAGAAAAAAACTGAAAGCCTCTCAAGATAATACCTAAGTTATATATATTAAATATATTCATGTGTATACATGGGCGTACACAGGTAGGGACTGGTAAGCTAGATTTCAAAATGTTATTATTGTTTTGAATAAACATTTAATACTGTTTACAAGAAAAGTTTAAAATTTGTCTTTTTTAGTGCACAAAATCTAATCTTCAAGTTTTTAATGAACTAGGGGTGAAATAGACTAACTAATATAAGCCAAAAAGAAAAAGAAAAAAGGTCTAAAGAGGGGTGCCTTAGCACAATTTCAAATATATAATAATGTCATATCAGTATATCAGTGTCGCCCCCTAATTTCGGCCCTGGGTAAGCCCATGTGTATATATAAATAGTTATTATATATGCATACACATGTCAAATAAAATAATGATATATACTTCTCTAACATCAAGAAGTAATAAATAAAAAATTAATTATATATACATAATGCACATCTATATATAATCAAGTACATGTATATATATATATATATATATATATAAATATATATACTTCTATAAATATGAATCCTGTAACATTAAAAGGATTTAATAAATAATAGAATAAAACTGAAAGGCTCTCAAGATAATAGCAAAGTTATGTAAATAAATGTTAAAATAAAAACAGGATACCACTAAAATTTTATTTCCGTGCCAAAGTCCTTTTTAACTCACAACAAGATGAAAGGCACAAACTTTTGGCTACGGAAGTTGAACGGAAACGGGCTACTCGAAACTTAGTTTCACTTTCGACTGTTCAACAGCAAATACTTTTCAAAAGTGTAAAAATACTAAAGTTGTAGATATTTATGAAAAGCTCAAAATACTCGTACACCGAACGAAGCCATTTGGTGCATAAAGGAAATGTATTCAAAAGTTGTTTGTGAATATTTTGAAGTATTTTTGTGCTCTAGAATACAAGTATAGAAACTTAATATTTAATATTTCTAAAAGTAATTTTTGAGAAAAAAACAATCTTTTTTATTTTGCAAAAACTTAGTAGTGTTAGTCAAAGATTTTACTGTTCACTGGGCATATACTTTTTTAGAAAT